TCGTCCGTCGTCTGGTTTTTCCTCTTACGAACTGTTCGCCAGAATAATCTAATATCCATATCGGCAGTTTCATCAAGTTCGTTGTTAACTTTTGTCATATACTCGTTATATGCTTTCGTGTGCATATTCCTGAAGATGTTTTTGGCTTCTTTATATTCACGGTATGATTGAAACTGCGTACCACGTGGTTTATTCTCGCAGATCCACGCAAAACGTCTATTCAAAGCGTCATTATGTGCATTTTCAAGGTCCTTTGTCCAAAATGGTTTTAAGTAGTGCTTGAATTGTGAATTAGGAATAGCTTCTTTTGATGCTAAAGACATACACAAGACGAGTTGTTCATAAACAGCATCTAAACCAAACTGCGTAGTTCCATCAAAGTCTCTAATTTTCTGAAGTTTATCTGTTACCAGGAGTTGGTAGGCAATCAAATTTTCTATGCGTGCTTTATGCCATGCAACATACCATTCACCAATAGCGTTTCCACTACTTGTTTCGTAATACGCAATGTCAAAGTCAAAGCTTGCTATGATTGGTAGGTGATCAGATGCAAGTTCTATTTCTGCGTTGTCCAATAAGCAACACTTTACAATATTGATCAGTAAAGATATAGTCCAACGTTGTTTGACATGGTCCCGCGCACATAGGTAGGGTATTTACCACACACAAATTAATATCGTTAATGACATCATTTAGGGCGTTCACTTTCTGCATTGTTACGTGGTATTTGGGATACTCAAGAATGCGCGCGTTAAAATCCCCGGCTACAATGACTTTCCCTCTCTGTCCATAAAAAGTTAAAATGTCATGAAGGTATTGCATTGTAAGCTTGTATTCGTCAAAGTTGCTATTACTTTGCATATACACTCCAAATATATATATCGGTCTTGTAAAGCTGTTTCCGTATACTTCGACAGCTACTATACGACTGTTCACTACCTCGTTTAATGGACTCACTGTGAATTTCAAAGACTTTTTAACAAGAAAAGCGACCCCGCTATTTTCAACAGGTTCCACGGGTTGTTTGGCACAAATAGGGTAGTACATGGAATTAATTGCTTCCAGATATTGTAACAAGTTATTGCATAATTTGTGTTCCGTAATAGCGATAATATCGCAGTTCGTGTCTTGTAACAGTTCAGAAACACACTTGCTCGAGGAAAATATTCCTCTCACATTCCATGTCATTATTGAAAATGCCATGATCAATGGCAATGTTACTGATATTGTTGACATGTCAGATGTATGAACAAACGAAAAGTCTAGTTGAATTCGTTGCGGTCTGGGTTATATCGCCACGTGTTTTCAGAATCTCGACTATAGCGTTCAAAATAGTCTCCGTTATCCTCATACCAGTCGACGTTATTTGAACGACGGTTAACATCGAATCCACTATCGTTTGTTTTCCATCTTGACTGATTGCGCGAATTATTTTCTTTATTGTCAAGTCTTTCTTGCCACTCTCTATTGCTGAGCCACGGTCTACAGATGACGCTTTCAGACCAGAAATTATCCTGGTCAATTTTAATCGCGTGATCGGCTGTCACATTAAGTTTGGCGGAGTATGACCCATTTCGTTGCTTAAACAATCTAAGAACTGTAACCTTGACCCCCTTATCTTGTACATAATTAAAAATTCCAGTTTTTGTAGTTTCTGGCCCTATACCTCTCAGGTAATACCGCGCTGTTCGTTTGCGTTTTACACCAATAAAAACATCCTTGCCATCCGAGCCGTTGCTATTTAGAGATTTTTCAGTCATCTTGTTAGTATTTTCTACTTCTATGTTCTTTTTCTCATTAACGTTCGCCGAAAAAGAGTTCGAGCAGGGTGGTGAGCGTTTCGCTATTCGTCCGATTGCTGGAGGTACTCGTATTATCGCGCAAGCCCTGTGGTCGATCATCCGTATCACAGGTATGTGACTCTGTTGGCCGGTCGCTATTGTTCGCTGTACATGTACGCGTACCTGGCGAGGCGGTGCCGTTAGGAATGTCACTCACACCATCGACTGTGTTGAGGTTTCCTGAGAGGTAAGTATTTAACGAAACAACTTCTGAAAAAGATCTCCTTGTAAGTTCCACATTATCATTAGCCTTTAGCACTACACTGTAAAGATCAGAGACGACCTTCGCAAGGTGAACATTTTCGTTTCTCATATCCTGTATCAGTTTTATCATGTGCTTTTCCTTTTGAAGACTCTCTTTCAGCGAGAGTTCGACGAATTTTAATCGTTCACATACAGAATGTAGAATACTAGTGTTTTCTAGTTCAGAACCTTTATTGGTCGGAACAGTCCGACTCCTGTTTTCCGATGGAACTAAAGGTTGCCTCCAAAGCACTCGGTCACTCAGTGGAGTACCTAAAAACAAATTGCTCGATAGAGTTTCCTCTTGGGCCTCTGAGGCACATTTACCTTTGCTGAACACATTTTCAATTTCTGAGGAATCTCCAAGTATGAATGCCTGTATAATAAAACATTCTTTTGCGTATTTTATATGACTTGGATTATTTGTGGTTGTTTTTCTTACGACAAGTTTACCCTTTGGACAGCCAGAAATGCCCCGAGCACGACCTAACAGAACACTTCTGTACCACATGATGGTACTTAGTGACTCTTCGCATATCTCGATTATTTTCTGTACATAGGAATCACGAGCAAGATGAATCAGTTCACTATCAAGTTTCTCGATGTATTCTTGATTATACGCCTGGACGTGGGGCTGGGAGGAAGTCATATCAAAATCTGTAGGCGATCTTGCCGGGGTACATGTATGTAAATCAACATGGTGGTTTGGGCTAGCGACACACTGACCTTCATTCACAATCACGTCATTCCCGCTTACCACCTGTTTCAGGCTAGTTTCCTCGCCATAACTACCATCTATCGATAGTTCGCCAACTTCTGAACTCACAGTTCCAAGATCTGTATAGCAGTGCGACTCTGACTTGCACAAGTTCATGTTTTCACATTGGAGGCGTAGAGGTGGACCGGTCGGGTCCGCCATCTTAAATTCAAAAATTTCAAAAAATGTCTATTATTGAAAAAATTTTCAACTGCAATTTTGAAGAAATATCGTGTTTTATACATCTACATTTTCTATTTATATTAAACATTAAACTGCATCACACAGCTCTTTCACTCTTATGAAAAACGTCAGAGGAGAGTCTTAAATCCCAAAGCGAGCTAAGTTTGTTTTGCTATTGCATAAAATAGATGGTGTGTTCCCATTTCGCCTTAGTTACATATTTTGGTATAAAACAGGTGGAAATGTTCTAAGGCGAAATGGGAATTGGGCAAAGGCAAAGTGAGAATTTAGGAAAAAGTGTAGAAAGATAAACAAACCAATTACATGCAGCGGTTGTTGTTTTTACAATAACTCATTCTACAGTTAAATCTTAATTATAATTGACCAAAGGCCACATAGATTTAAGATATATATGATATAAAAAAATTGATAAGAAGAAATAAAAATAACTACATGTTGTATTGGAACATGTACATTTTTCACATTGAAAGAAATAAAAATAACTACATGTTGTATTGGAACATGTACATTTTTCACATTGAAAGAAATAAAAATAACTACATTTTGTATTGGAACATATACATTTTTCACATTGAAAGAAATAAAAATAACTACATGTTGTATTGGAACATGTACATTTTTCACATTGAAAGAAATAAAAATAACTACATTTTGTATTGGAACATGTACATTTTTCACATTGAAAGAAATAAAAATAACTACATTTTGTATTGGAACATGTACATTTTTCACATTGAAAGAAATAAAAATAACTACATTTTGTATTGGAACATGTACATTTTTCACATTGAAAGAAATAAAAATAACTACATTTTGTATTGGAACTTGTACATTTTAACACTAAATCAATTAAATATATCTAAATAAATATTGGTTTTATTTCTTATTTATTCTATAATTCAAAGAAGGAACAAATCTTATTTTAAAAACCTAGTTTTTCTATGAAATGTATGTTTATAAGCAACTTTTTAGTTACAGTTTTAGATAATTTTTCTTGGGGATATATGTATACAAAAATATTCATAGTAGAGTTTTACAGACTGAATGATCTGTCCACCCTAGCAGTAACAGCTTGGAATAACACTAGACTTACAGAGATTCAGCTTGGAATACCTCCTCATCTCAGCTTACGTAACGTAAGAATCCTGTTCACCCTAGCAGTAACAGCTTGGAATAACACTAGACTTACAGTGATTCAGCTTGGAATACCTCCTCATCTCAGCTTACGTAACGTAAGAATCCTGTTCACCCTAGCAGTAACAGCTTGGAACAACACTAGACTTACAGTGATTCAGCTTGGAATACCTCCTCATCTCAGCTTACGTAACGTAAGAATCCTGTTCACCCTAGCAGTAACAGCTTGGAACAACACTAGACTTACAGTGATTCAGCTTGGAATACCTCCTCATCTCAGCTTACGTAACGTAAGAATCCTGTTCACCCTAGCAGTAACAGCTTGGAACAACACTAGACTTACAGTGATTCAGCTTGGAATACCTCCTCATCTCAGCTTACGTAACGTAAGAATCCTGTTCACCCTAGCAGTAACAGCTTGGAACAACACTAGACTTACAGTGATTCAGCTTGGAATACCTCCTCATCTCAGCTTACGTAACGTAAGAATCCTGTTCACCCTAGCAGTAACAGCTTGGAACAACACTAGACTTACAGTGATTCAGCTTGGAATACCTCCTCATCTCAGCTTACGTAACGTAAGAATCCTGTTCACCCTAGCAGTAACAGCTTGGAACAACACTAGACTTACAGAGATTCAGCTTGGAATACCTCCTCATCTCAGCTTACGTAACGTAAGAATCCTGTTCACCCTAGCAGTAACAGCTTGGAACAACACTAGACTTACAGAGATTCATCTTGGAATAACTCCTCATCTCAGCTTACATGTTATCTATAAAAGACCTTTGACAGTATGCTAAAGTATCAGTTTCACAATCAACATGGCAGGAGTTATGCTACATGTAGACTTTTTAGAGACTTACAGAGGTGGTAGACATCTTGTATGGAATGGCTTTATATATCGCCATAACAACAAGAGGGACACATGGATATCATGGAAGTGTACCGAGAAAAACTGCAAAGCTACATTATGCACCCGAGATGACGTACCCACAAAGATAGGCCAGGTTCACAATCATCTACCAGACCAAGCAGCAGTAGAATGTAAGAAGATTATGAACAACGTACGAACGAGAGTTAAAACCGAACTTCATCCACTACCAGCCATCTATGATGAAGAAATATCCAAACTTCGAACTACTCCATGGGATGCCCAGAGTAAAAAGATTGCCTCTAAACTTCCAAAGTTTGATGCCAAGAAGTCGTCATTCTATCGTAGCAGAAAGAAGACACTATCGCCAATTCCGAACACCAGACCAGAGGTACAACTTGAAGGTAAATTTACCCAGACCACCAGTGGAGAACAGTTTCTACAAGCAAATGATGGAGACAATGACAAAATACTGATATTCACAACTGACGAGAACCTAGTACATCTATGCTCTGCCGAGATCGTCTACTGCGATGGAACCTTTTATACAGCCCCACAGATGTTTGACAGTATCTTCACCATCCATGCTTTTGTTGGTACTGTTATGTTTCCATTTATGTATTCATTACTGCCGAAGAGAGATACTAACACTTACAACAGATTATTCACGCTTCTGAAAGACATTGCCGTTCGACACAACCTGGACTTCTCACCGTGCACAGTTAACCTTGATTTCGAATGTGCTTCCCGTAATGCCGTCACTCAGACACTTCCAGCAGCAGAACTCAAAGGATGCCTGTTCCACTACACAAGTACCATCTGGGAAAAGACACAAGAATATGGACTTCAGACTGACTACAAGAACCTTCCCGAAGTCCAGGAACTTGTCCGCCGTGCAGCAGCTTTGCCACTTCTTCCATTACACCAAGTTGAAGATTACTGGCTACATGCCCTATAAGATGCCCCACAGAGAGAAGACTGCCTGAAACTCACAGATTACGTCACAAAGACATGGATTGAAGGGCGATATCCACAATCAACATGGAACCACTTCCTAACCGAAGGACCCAGAACCAATAACCACTTAGAAGGATGTCGCAATAAACTAAAGAAGAGAGTGAAGACATCACATCCCAACATCTACAAGATCATCGAGGAGTTCCAGCGACTGCAAGCAGCTACCGAGGTGAAGATAATTCAATATGCAGCAGGAGGACAGAGACGAAAGAAAGCTAGGAAGTACAGAGAAGTAGAAGAACGTCTAGAAAACCTAAAGACTGATCTAATGAATGGGACCAAAGACTTCATCCAGTATGGAGACGCAGCATCCTACATTCTGAAACTCAGTGAGATATTTATAGTGCTTAATTTGAATTTGAATGTTAGGACTATTTATTATAGCATATCGAAACAGTGAAACTTTTGAACATTTGTGCTTGATTTAAATGATTGATATGATAAGATTGATAGTGCTTAACTATAAGATTTTGTTGCATGAAATGTATACTTCTCTGTATCAATATATATTATATATCTATAATGTTAATTATGTTTGTATTGATGACATTGCAAAAAGAATACTAGTATATTGCTAAATAGACATTATTAAATTAATTGCTTTGCTACCTTAATTTGTATATACAAGGTTCCATTTCGCCTTAGCCTGTCTGGTTTTGCCACTAAGGCGAAATGGGAATAATTTTTTACCATGAAATTGACAGCTAAGGCGAAATGGGAGTAAGCCAAATAGATTATGTTTCAGAGTATTCCTCGTGTGAGGGGAAAAGAATATAGACTGAAAACTATTGACATAGTCATGTTAAAAAGGAACAAGTTGATAAGCTTACTTGCATAATGACGAGGATCTTCACAATGTTTTTCCTGTGGAAGTGCATTGTCCCCTTTTCTTTTCTGTAACACAAATTTTTTTTGAAAACCAACATCTTATTCAACATATTGTTATATTTACATATTGTATCATACCATCCGCCTGTTATCTAGTGAATCTGCGCATGCGATATGTTAGTACAAGTCACTAGTGTGTCACGTAGCGTTTGAGGACATAACGTGACGTGCATGCGCGGTTTTCTAGATATAGGTGAACGTTTTTTTTTTTACTATATATTACTTAACGGCATTTCAGGAAAATGTTGATATATCGTTTTGTAGATAAAAATTCCAAAATGTATGCCTCTGATATTCGACAAACAAAACGATTATTTTGACAACTTTAATATAAAATAAAAACAATATTATGAAAACATCTCCAAATGTATGCCTCTGGCTATCAAGTATAGTCACTTTCCAACACATTGATATATCTTTAACAGCATTTAATTAAAAGTTTCATTGTATTGTTGTTTAGGTGAAGATGGCACAGTTCACAGTCCGATCACTGTACAGGTAAACACGGCGTCAATGTCCGTGAATCAATGCGTCAATTAGACGGACTGCTGTTTATATATAGTAAACAGTTATATTGTTTATTTTATCAAAGTTCATTTGATATCTTTGAAATAAAGAATTTTATATGTAATTAATTTGTAACTATTGGTGTGTATATATACTGACCGATTCACTTACAGTAATTAAAAATGCTGAATGACGAATCATGAGAGCATTGTTGAAGAAGTGTACAATGTATATACTATGTTGACATTGATATTTACATGTACAAGCGTGTATATCCATGTTTCTATAACTAATTTGTATGATCAGTTCCGTGTCACTAACTATCGGAAGAAGTGATCCTTGGGTAATGACCGTAACGGTAATTGTTGTACTGTGCAAAGTTATACAGACCATCATCTCATTCGACATTGATTTCTTATCCGACTTTAATAGTAAAGTGCACACATATTTGATACCTATATGAATATGCAGGGAGATACTGAGATACTCTAGTAAAAGCTTCTAAATTGACAATTTTATATTATGGATATTTATATCGCATAGTGAATCATTTTCTCACAATAATGCCATCATCTGTGCACAGCTCCTATTTGAGACGTGTGTCTACGCCACCCCAAAATTGTCCACGTACTACTTGGCTCGTCATCATTAAGATTACCCGTGTCCTAGACATATGTACTACTTGGCTCGTCATCATTAAGATTACCCGTGTCCTAGACATAGGTACTACTTGGCTCGTCATCATTAAGATTACCTGTGTCCTAGACATATGTACTACTTGGCTCGTCATCATTAAGATTACCCGTGTCCTAGACATAGGTACTACTTGGCTCGTTATCATTAAGATTACCCGTGTCCTAGACATATGTACTACTTGGCTCGTTATCATTAGGATTACCCGTGTCCTAGACATATGTACTACTTGGCTCGTCATCATTAAGATTACCCGTGTCCTAGACATAGGTACTATTTGGCTCATCGTCATTAAGATTACCCGTGCCCTAGACATATGCACTAATTGGCTCGTCATCATTAAGATTACCCGTGTCCTAGACATAGGTACTACTTGGCTCGTCATCATTAAGATTACCCGTGTCCTAGACATAGGTACTACTTGGCTCGTTATCATTAAGATTACCCGTGTCCTAGACATATGTACTACTTGGCTCATCATCATTAAGATTACCCGTGTCCTAGATATAGGTACTATTTGGCTCATCGTCATTAAGATTACCCGTGTCCTAGACATATGTACTACTTGGCTCGTCATCATTAAGATTACCCGTGTCCTAGACATAGGTACTATTTGGCTCATCGTCATTAAGATTACCCGTGTCCTAGACATATGTACTACTTGGCTCGTCATCATTAAGATTACCCGTGTCCTAGACATAGGTACTATTTGGCTCATCGTCATTAAGATTACCCGTGTCCTAGACATATGTACTACTTGGCTCGTCACCATTAAGATTACCCGTGTCCTAGACATAGGTACTACTTGGCTCGTCACCATTAAGATTACCCGTTTCCTAGACATAGGTACTAATTGTGATATACGCCCCAGGGCAGTTGATTGTCACACTTCGGCGGCAAACTTTTATCCCCCGCTCCCCATACGTCCTATCATGAAATGACATGATAATGAATGACAAATTATGAGTTTACTATTAAAGGGGGTGTTTCATGTGGTAATTTACAAATATCATTATATCTACATTGTTTCAATTATTGAAGTAAACCACGAATGATCAAGTGGTTCCTTTTCCTTCCCAATCCGGACGACATAATCGAACAGAGACATTTAGGTCTCAGATTCAAAATTATAAACAGGCATTTTGCCCAGGGACATGTATTACAAGTATATTCTGTCCGTGCGTGTGTCGACACCTCGATAACTACTGCTCCGAATGCTTTCAAAATGCAGTGTTGACAGGACATGGATATGAACTCTAGAAACAGCAGTGAGAATGGTGTGCCATATTATGGTTAAGCAGGTTTAAGTTTAGATGTAAATGATGGACCATCTCCCTCCCAATCCCATGGAATTTATTCGAACAATACATGCATTAGTAACCTGATCGTAAATCATGGCGGCTCCGGTAGTAACACTCATCGGTCAGACGAGATAACAAGATAGCAAAATAACACCTTGTTATCATCTTATTAAAAAGACAAAAAAAGCAGAATTTACAAATTTGGAAATATGATGTTTACCATTCTAGAAAAGGGATAAGTTATATAATGTTTGAAATAGCAAAAATTTAGAAAAATATCTTTCGATTTTACCAAAATGTTTTTAAAAAACTTTCAAAAGGTATCGCAAAGGTAATCATTGACTTTTCATTAAAAGAGAACGCCTCCAGTTTATGTAACTAGTTATATATGTAATAATAAAAAGACGAGTATGTACCACGGCGCCACCCGACCACCGCCTAATGGTGAATACAATAACGTCTTGTAGAAGAAGGAAATGACGCCACGGAAGTATGTCCGAGGTAACACATTGGTATATGTGGATATGTCGGCGTGTGTCTTGTTGAAATGTTGAAGAATTTAAACAAATTAAAAAAACACTTCATTGAAGCAAGGAATTATGCAGTTCAAATTGTTGATTTCATCTTAATTAGGTGGGGTCAACATATATGGAAATTCTAACACTAGCATCGGCCCTCACTTTGAATTTCAAAATATGATAACCATAAACAGATATGGATATCAGAAGCTTAAATACGGAAAAGTTGATTTTTTATAAAATGGAAGCTCCTTGACTAATACCTTGGTGAGTGTTAAAGTAGCTGTTATGTAATTCCTTCTAGTGCATTATTATGAGACAATTCCAATAAAATTATGTCATTAATGTGAGAACATTGTACCAACCAACATTTTGATACCACATATCACACTATTTCAGGAGAAACGTTTCTTTTGTGTTGAAAAATGCAGCCAAAATTCATATAAAAAGCCATTACTTTTGAGAAAAGTACTCTTTTGGACACTTCAATTTCTATACTTCCGAAACCAGACTATTTTTCATACTTGCTTAAAAGTTGGCCACAGATGATATCTTTCAAAAGGAGGATTCTTGGGAAAAACGAAAACCGGTAAATGTGTCATTTCACACATTTGCTTAAAAAAAACCAAGAAACTCTTATTTTTTTTTTTTCATTTTCGTTAAATAGTGACAGCTTAATGACCGAAAGTCTGTAGATCTTGCTATTTGACAAGGTGGTTGTTCATGTCAATTTGTATCAGTTTGGTTAACATTGCTGAACTTGACCTCCGTTCAAGGTCACAGAAATGAAATTTGTTAAAATAAAGGCATTTTTGTACAAGTTTCACAATTTGAAGATTTAGTTAGCAGCTTTATACAAATCAGTTGATGAAGGTCAATAAAGTGACCTTATTAGATAGATTGTGTACAGTCATAGTGATGGGCTTTGCCTTTGTCAGTTCCAATCCATAATTTGTGGCACTTTGAGAGGCCAATAAGAGAGAGAACAGTTGCAGTTTGCAGCACATTACATTGTGTTTTAATATAGCAGAACTGCTCAAGTGATTGCTTGTTTGAACTTGAGTGTTACATGGACTGGCTTAGTTTGATCTTGATGCTGAACATGGCCCAAGAAATACAAAATGCACGCAAAATGTGCACACATTCCAACAGCTCGCTTGCCCGCTGGACAGACACAGGAGTAAACTTTGACTTTGATCATATCTGTCAAACGCAATCCAAACATTGTATTTTGACTGTGATTTGTGCCTTGAATGGATTTGGCTTCGGAGAAGATTTTCATCATGCTGAAAGACCCAAACTTCAAAGTCTCCAGCAGTAGTGAGATGCACAGCAATATTTCTGGGTGCTACTTTCAGCTGGTATGATCCGCAGGTTACTGTTTCTAAATATTCCATATCCAGTACTGGAAACTCTCTTGAACAGGCATCAAGTTTCACCAAGTTGGCCTTGTTGCGCCTAGAAAGGTCAGGTTCATCTGCAACCCTTGAGAC